CTTTACTGTAGATGTATTGTTATACCAAAATTGGACGCCCTCTTTTACGACCCTGGCTAAAAGCCTGGCTACGAGTCATAATGTCAAGATGGTCAAAAGAACAGAAAGAACATGTTGACCGTTTGATTTGAATTTATTTTCTTATTCCCCTAAAAGAGTCACGAAATACCGAGAGGAAAACAAAATGGATGCGCACAACTTGGCTGTCGTGTTCGGTCCAACTTTGATCCGCGTCTCCGAAGAAGATGACATGATCTCATCACAGGGCCACTTTAACAAGGTCGTCGAGACGATCATTAAGTCGTACGATGTCGTGTTTGACGGAGAGGGACTGGACACTGTTGAGAATGACCTCGAGGAAGAGGAACAAGAGCGGCGGACTGAGGACGAGTTAAGTAAAGATGATTCGGACAGCGAAGAAGGTGAGGGACTGGGGCAGGAAAACTGAACTAAATTTCTGTATACTGGATTGCTCTTTCAGTTCTAAACTGTTTTTCCTATAGGGTATATTGAGTAATAGCTCCATCACTTGTAAACTGTTCTCCCTATAGATCCAGTAAAGGCCATCCTTTTTTGTCCAGTTTTACTAGATCCGGGAAAAGAAGTACATGGAGAAATTTGCGATGTTTGACAGAAGAAAAAAATTCGGCAATTTAATGAAATTGGGAAACTCAGCCCGCGGCAATCTGACCCGAATTAAGAAATGTCTATTAGAACACAATGGTCTAGCACAAAGCCTTTGCTGATTATTGTTTTGCGTAGGTACCCTCGCAACACTAGTAATCTGGTTCCCAATTCTTTGGCAAAGTTTCGAAGTTGAACAATCTTATTTTTATAACAATGTTATAGTTATAGTATAACCAAGCATTAAACCCTGTTTCGATTGTTCGTGTAATTACATTGCATCTTTCTTCTCCCAACAGAGGTTGAGCCAAAAGAAGCCAAGGCTTTATTCAACTACACAGCGAGGTCTGATAAAGAACTCTCGTTCAAGAAAGGAAATATTATCCTCGTATTCAAACGTTCTAACAACGACTGGTGGGATGGTTCTCTTGATGGAATCGATGGTTTCGTTCCTTGCGCTTACGTCCAGGTTATTGAAGATGATGGTGTTGATGGTCACTCTCCTGAATCGCGGACCGCGCCCCAGAGTTTACCCCTTGACTCCAGTGCCCCACCAGGATGTGACAATCTACCCTCCCCTTCCTCCGCACGCTCGACCCGCACGCACCCGTCAAACCCAATCCTTGGGCAGCGTCCTACATCCACAAGTGATGACGGGGTCCAAAGTCAAATCCTATTACGTCATCACATCCACAAACCATCCACCCAGGAAGTTATACCGGAAGAGACACATTTATCATCATTCAAACGTAGCTCATTCAAACGTCCCACTTCACCGATAAAGTCGCCGTCGGGTTCTCTCGAGCGTTCACGAAGTCTAAACGATCAACGGTCAAGTCCGAAGACGGTTAAGTCCGGAGATGCAAGTCGGACGGCGTCGTTGCCTCGGTCTGGTATGAACAATGTATGTTGGGATCGCAGAAGTCAAAGCGTAGAACCCCTCTCTCCAGTGGAAACACGCGGTATTGCTGAGGGGAGCTTTTCTCCCGGGTCGGAAACCGGAGGTCAGCCTGCGAACCGGGGGCCGGCACAGTTCACCCGTGCCCCACCCCCGGCACCGAAACCCAAACCGAAACCCAAGGTGCCAAAACGTAATTCAAATCCTTCAACTGAACTTATAGCGAGCCTGCATGCCGGCTCAGTGGCGCGGACCGTCCGCCATGAAAGCCACGGGGATGCAAGCGATCATGATGATTTACCCCCACCCCCTCCTCCCTGTGAAGAACGTGAGGTAGTTGGAGGGGAGACGCCTTCCCCACCACACTCCCCCATAGGAAAACAAGATACATTTTTGTAGCGACATCCTGTAGTGAATGAGTAAATAAGCATGTATTGAAATGCATGTTGATATGACCTGAGTGTTGAGTTTTGACCTGCATAGGGGACAATGTAATTTTTTATGCCAAAAACTAAGTTGATTTGAAATAATTTGAAACCCATATGCCAGTATAAAGCGCTGACCAAAATTGGTTTGCTTACCTTTGCGACACATGGCTATGAAACATGGTAATTAAGAAACAATGTTTCCTGATTTGCCCACGTTTGAGAAACATGGTTAATAGGAAAAAATGTTTCCTGGTTTGCCCACCTATAATTGAGCGACATGTTTGCTGCTTGTAAACACAAATGAAAGTGTTCCCTAGCTATGTTTACCAAAGGTGGGTTTCTGGTTTGCCTGCCTTTGCAGAAACATGACCAGCAAACAATGTTTCCTGGTTCGCCCACCTTTGAAAAACGTGGTAATTAGGAAACAATGTTTCCTGGATATGGTTAGCAAACAATGTTTCCTGGTTTGTCCAACTTTTGGAAAACGTGGTAATTCGCAAAGAATATTTCCTGACTTGTTCAGGGCTTAACGTCTCCTATTCAGCGCTGGCTCAACTTATACACGGGCGTTTTGTTGCCAAATCTTCAATTTGAATGTTGTGGAAAGCATTAATAGGAAATAATTATTTTGATCAGCTTTCTTGGTGTAATTTGAATATTTGATATAGTATTAGGAAAATGCAGACCTAGCCAGGGGTTTATACCAGAATACCAATATATACTTGATAATACTGGCTCAATTATGCCAAAATTCCACGCTGTCTGCATTTTATACCCATTTTCAACCTATTTTAACAATAAACACTGTGTACCAAAATGGCCTAAATACCAACATACGTGAAACCCCTGGCCAGGCCTGAAAATGTCTGTAATTATTACTTCCTGGTTGATAAATCAAGATAAAATAATAAAAATTGGTAAAGTTTTTAATTCGTTGCGTTGGCTATTGAATATGATATGTTCAAGGGGTTGGTTAACTAACCATCAATTCAGGTACACATTTTAAAAACTCACAACTTGTCAACAAGATGTGTTCGCAACAGGCTTGTAGCAAGCTTGTCAACAAGTTGTAACAACGCTGTTATTTTGTCAAGTTGCTACAAGGTTGTCACTCACAACTTGTTCAATGTTGACAAATTGTTGAATTGCAGGACGATAACAAGTTGTTGGAACAACTTGTAACAAGTCTGTTGAGCTCAACAACCTTGTAGCAAGTTGTCAACAAGCGGTGCGAACACATCTTGTTGACAAGTTGTTGAAACAGCATTGCTACAAGTCTGATGCAGGTTTGCTACAACTTGTGCGTTTTTACGTGGTGCCAAAAACGATTGACTCCTACGAAGAAAGGAGTTATGGCCTATTTGACTATACTCTATGGTGTAGGTTATGTCTCAGAGGTTATGTCTAGTATGGTTATGTCACCCTTATTTCAAGGAGGGTTAGGCCTGGCGCGGGCAAAGGCTGGATGCGGGCTACAAGCAGAGCCAATGGCAGAGCCTGGGCTTCCGTTAGTTCGGATCCAAAATGACCATGGGTAGCTGGTAATACCAAAATAACCATGGGTCTAATAAAATGTATATAAATTTCTACTCGACTTCAATTACTGTCTGCTGAATGAGAGTGAGATGATAAAGTCTTGAAATGTACGCCGTACGCTACTTTTTACGGCTGACGCGCGCCGTCAAATGATCAAAACTACGAATCAGGTGTTCGCTGGATTTTCAAGAACCAAGATGGCGCAGTACAAGGGTGCCGCTCGCGAAGGTCAGAGGGCCGCACATTTGATGAAAAAAAGAGAAAAGCAAAAGGAGGAATTAGAATTACTCAAGAAGAAGATTGCAGATGTATGTTGCGGATAGAGTTTGTTTGTTTTCCCTTTTATTTTATGTATAAAATCCCAAAAATCGTACATTATATTGAAGTCTTGAACAAATGAACAATTTTCAACAATAAAAGTAACACTTAATTCCTGTATCATATGCAATGAAAAACATACCATGAAATACTGAATTGAATTACCTACTATGAAAAAATTCCTTAAAAACTTTATACATTACCCCAAGTACCATGGTCTGCGATAAACTGTTTTATATACATACTATTCTCCAAATATCCGATTTATATGGATTTAGGGGCCACGTCCATATTCATGTTGCCACAAATAACGTCGAATCTGCGTTATTTATTCACCCACTCCAGATAAAATCGACCGATATTCAGTCGTATTTTGACTTTCGTATTTACGATACAAAATCTGGATTGTGATAGTTACTTTGGACGTTACTTTGTCAAATTGCCACGAGATAACTATGATAAGTTCACTTAAAAACCCACTCATAACGTCGATTCAACGTTATTTGTGGCAACAGGAATATGAACATGGCCCCTTAGTATATAGATTTCAGTTGGGGGAGTGTGGATTTTTTCTGGAATGACCCAATCTTGTTCTAGGAATCCAAGTCGGGCACAATTGGTTTTGGCAGCAAATTTGAAACACAATATGATGTTGTGGAACAACAGCTTAAATCTAGTACTATTGGTAAGAAAGATAATTTTCAATAGAAAGTAGTTTACAAGGGCCAGTATTAGCAATACATTTGGTCCCACACAATACACTCTTCCGGAAAGTAAGTCACTTTGGCTTTAGAGCCTTGTTTTTGTGTATGTGACATTAGTCAAAGCCGAACATCTCAATCACGAAAACGAGGCTCTATAGACCCATTGCACATGACGTCACAGCGCCGGTGACGATGCATCTGGAGAACAAAATTAATTAACAATCTATGCATAATATAACTTTTGTAAACAAAGCAAATTTTGTAAAAGTTTATAATAATTTTATATTAAAATGGTTTACTTTTGCGCTGTATGTATAGTTGTTGAACCCGAACAGATATTTTTAGGGAGCATCTGGAGGACACTCTAAGGATTTGTGACGTCAGTGGTGCAATGGGTCTATAGCCAATGTGACATACTTTCTGGTGTATTGCAGACTTGTTCCGTGGTTAGCCTTTTACCTTTTTGCATCTTTTGCCAAATTGAAAAAGTGGTTAAAAATGGACGAAAAGTTAAGGGGCCAACATTTTGCCATTTTTTTGCCGGAGGTCCTGAATTGCTGCACATTGTGACTGATAGGTTTGGTTACTTTGGATGAGATGAAAGCGAAAAGAGAAGATCTTGTCAGAGAACATGAGAAAAAACTGGCAGCACAGTTGAAACAAGATAAAAAAGACAAGTAATTATACCTTATTATAACTAATTATGCACCACGTTCTTACAATTTAAACCTCAGCATTCACTTCGTACAGAGAGTAAAATAATAAACCAAATAATATATAGCTACCTGATTTGCCTTCCTAAAATTTGGCCATTCAATTCCTAGAAACAAGAAAGATAAGAAGAAAAAGCTTGCAAAAATTTCGGCAGGTTTATCTTTTGATATTGATGGCGAGGAAGAAGATGATGACGACATCGAACCAGTAGGTAAGTGACTAATCCCTAACCCATTAAGCGGCAGCGCTCTCCCCTTAATGAGTGAAATCATCTGGCATTAGACAGAGTAAAATATTAATCTACAGCATATTAGGGTACATGAAATGCAGCTTAATGGTTTAAGGGCCAGCACTCTCCCCTTGACGAGTAAAATCATCTGGTGTTAGACAGAGTAAAATAATAAAGCGGGGCGCATCAGGGCACAATGCGACTCAATGGGTTAACTAGTCACATAAGCAGATAGGCCAGTTCACCCATTAAGCACCAGCGCTCTCCCCTTGACGAGTAAAATTGTCTGGAGTTAGACAGACTAAAATAATAAAGCAGGGCACATCAGGGCGCAATGCAGCTTAATAGTTTAATGCCCAACACATAAAAAAGACTAGCTGACACATAAAAAAGATCTTTATCTGTGAAATATGTCATTTTTTTTAGTAAAGAAGAGAAAACCTGGCAAGAATCCCGATGTGGACACATCATTTTTACCAGACAAGGACAGAGAGGTAAGCAGGCTTTTAATAGCCAGAAGGGAGTCCTGGGACGTCCTACTACAAAAAATGGATGCGTAAATTCTGGAGGGAAAAGGGAAATTATTCTTAACAACTTCCCTAACTATAGTAATATATCTGAAATAAAATTTTTTAATATTATTATACATTTGACATTTTGACCAATTTGATGGTGTACCTTGCTGAATGAAAACGTCGTAGTTAAGTAAAGAAGCATCTATAGCAGCACAAAACTTACAAAGTTAGGGGTGTTTGAAAAATCTCGAATTGCAAAATTGGTCAAGGTGGTCATTGTTTAATGTTCCTTTTGAGGTGACAGGAAGTGGAAAGACAGGAGAGAGAAAGGTTACGGCAAGAATGGGTTGAAATGCAGGAGAAAATAAAAAGTATGCAAATTACATTGCAATATATATATACAGTACTGTATGTACCAATGCCTTTTTGGTAATCGAATGCTTTTTTACCAACCAATGCCTTATTGATCACTTCACTATGCTTGCCTTTCAATCTGGGAGACCTGAGTTCAATCCTTAGTCGGACCTCTACTAAAGGAGTAAAGTTCTTAAAATAATTGAGGAGAAAGAGATACCTTTACATTGGCATCAGTAAATGGTTAGACTTTCGCGTCCTCTCAGATCCCCTATCAATGGACCTTTCACCTTTTGACTAAAATTTAGATTTCAACAAGTCTAGACAAAAATTTTATCACAGCTTGAAAGAGCATCACAAAATTAGTAATATTCCAAAGTTTCGTTGCGAAATGTTGTAAAATGCGGATAATACAGCCTTGCGAAGTTTGCCGTTTTTCAGTCATTTTGTATTACGCGCGGGAAATACATACCTCCTTCGGAAAAAGGGTATGTTTTTCCCGTTTGTAATCTAAAATGACTGAAAATTGCAA